ATGATGGATGTGTGAGACATGCGTGTGCTTCCTCGTCATATAATCTGAAGTCAGAGGAGGGAATCGTATCGGAGCCAAAATGGTGAGATTCTGGTTTGCAGAAGGCTGTGGATGACAGTGGGAGCCCAAGGTACATGTGTGGGTCTACGCAGGAAATAAGCCCTTGTAGATGATTGCCCTCTATCCATAATGGAGGGAAGGAAGACACTGATTACCAAACTGAGCTTATTGGAGTGATGACTATAGATCATCAAAATGATAAGCCTGACCTGAACTGTTAGACTTGTCACTTGATCCCCCTTGTTGCTCGTTACGTTGGGCCTGATGTGGTTTTCAACATTGTGTCTATGTGTTGTGTTGTGTTTTTTTTGACATTTTGCTTTTTATTTTTTTAAATCATTTTATTGGGGGCTCCTACAACTCTTAGCACAATCCATCCATCCATCCATTGTGTCAGGCACGTTTGTACATTTGTTGCCATCATCATTCTCAAAACATTGTCTTTCTACTTGAGCCCTGTGGGGAGAAGGGGTTTCCCAACAAATCATCACAAGTCCGGTAGGCACCATTGTACAGCGATAATAAGTAAAGATTATAGTAAAGTCATGGAGAGCATGAGAGATGGAAGAGAGATTGAAATAATGGAGTCAGACACATTTCATGGTAGCATGCTCACCTCCTGGATGGCCATGATCTTACCAGCCAGGTCCATGCACAGCATGGGCCGAGGTGAGGTGGGGCAGGGATCCGGCAGGAGGCTGGCGGACCCCGTTAATTGCTAATCCAGGGTTATATCTACTTAGGTGGGGCGTGATTGCAGGTAACCACACATCACAGGAAGGGGCAGTACAATAGGCATACATATTATAGGAAGGGGACGTACAATGACGGGAAGAAGATGAGCTAGGGGTGTACACATGATAGGAAGGGGAGGGACTAGGGGTATACATGTGACAAAAAGGGCGGACCCTAGATTCACGATGGCGGCCTAACCTTGGTCATCCTTGGGTGGGCTTCACCTCTCTGGGGTCTCCTACAAGGAAACAGACAACTACTATCCTTATCAGTAGAGAGTGGGCCCTACTTGTTGTGGGATAAACTGGTGACTTTTTGGTCTAAATGGCTGATAATCCTTAGGGAGAATGACCCCTGATCTACTTCTGATGACTTCCAAGTGTATAGTCATTCGCAAGCAGCTAAGTCTGGCATATATTTGGGAGAGACAACTTGGGAGAAATTCTTGTTTCCCACAGAGCCCTTGGTATCAGCTCCTCCTTTTTTCCCTTCCCTCCCCCACCAACCCTTGATAATTTATAATTATTTTTTCATATCTTACACTGCCCGATGTCTCCCTTCACCCACTTTTCTGTTGTCTGTCCCCCAGGGAGGGGGTTATACGTAGATCCTGGTGATCGGTTCCCCCATCTATGTCTTTTCATATTGGGGCTTACCTCAGATACACTTTGTTATTGGGGTGCCCCTTTTGAATGTGTGTTGCATGTACTTCGGTATATAGAACCCAGGATTGATGAACCCAGACAGACAACAGTAGAATCAGGGTTCCTGGGGAATACAGGGGTGGGGTGAGGAGGGGGTGGGGTAAAAGGCAGCTGACATCGAGGAGAATGTTTTGAGACTGATTGTGGTGGGAACTGTCTGATACTGCTTGATGTGATTGAACTGTGGAATGATAAGATACCTGTTAGAGTTCCCAGTGTAATGGTTTCGGGGTGGGGGTGAGAGAACACTTGTTTCTTCATCGCGGGACTCTCTGGACAGGTGAGGACTCAGCCACATATCAGGAGGGGATACCTGAACTAGAGCCTTAGGGGCGGTGGCGTTTCATTTCTGTGGTCCCCAACATCTCTTCAAGATACTGGGTGGAGCAGCAGCTACGCTGAACTTGACAGTAAGACACCCCCCCCACCCTCAAGTCCAGTCACCTGTCCACCAAAGTGGGCATACCACCCTCGGAGCCATCACAAAGGCTTTCAGGGGTCAAGACCTGAAAAGACAGGGTTCTCGGGGACCCTGCACGACCACCTGTGAAATGGCTTCCATTGTGAATGATCCAACCCACCCACCCCAAGACCCCGAAGGGTGGTACCACAGCCTCCGGTCAGAATTCAAACTCAGAAACCAGCGTCTGACCTCTGGCCTCCCGCCCTCCACCGGTGGCCGTCAGCTCACTAAGGATCTGGCCAGGGGACAACGGGGCGTTGAGAGCTTTATTTTCAGAGCTGATTGCGGGGTGGGTCCCCAAGTGGTTTCCAGGCAGCTGGTGGGTTTGTTTCTGAAGGGGGCCCAGGGGTATGGTTCGTGACTTTTGTGGGGAGACAGAAGCTTGGCGTGACGTCTGACATCTCGTCAGGTCCTCCGGGGGGACGCAGGCTGCCCAGCTGGGCCATGTCCCGGCCGGATCTTCCCTCTACACCAGGAGTTTGCTGAGACGATGTTCCCCTAACATCGGTTCTGGACACCTGCCGCCCCATGGCTCATATGGCCCCAAGCTGATTGCTTTGCAAGGTGGGGGGAAGTCCCGCTGGGACACCTGGACCGGTGTGCAATCAAGAGACAGAGCCATGGGGCACCTGGCTTCTGGAGACCGGCAGGCGGGAACCCCAGGTGGGAGGCTGGAGGAGGTCTTGGTGGTGCGTTGTGCCGAGGTCTCCCTGTCTGAGGCTGGAGGGAGAGGAGAGAGAACCCAGCTTACCATATGTGGGGGACCTGCAGGATGAGACCCCCACTGTGAACGTGCCGTGAAAACACCCCCTAACTTACCAACCCGTCCCCCTCACCAAGTCGCAAACCCCTCCCCAAAGGAGTCCTGGTGATGCAGTGGTTACAGGTTGGGCTGTTGACCACAAGGTCAGCGGTTTGAAATCACCAGGGGCTCCACAGGAGAATGAGGAGGCTGTCTGCTCCTGTGAAGAGCCAGAGCCTTGGAAACCCACAGGGGCAGTTCCACCCTGTCCTGTAGGGTTGCTGTGTCGGCATCAACTCGCCGGCAGTGAATTGCATTTGGCTTTTGTTTGTATGTTGGGAGTTTTGAATGAACTTGAGACCAGCGCTATCCCACAGGTGGAGTCTAGCCTGTCAATCAGGTCGCAGCTTGACGACCTCATTTGAAGGCGTGACGGAAAGAAAGCGGCCAGACACACACACTCTCTCTCCCTCTGCTTCGTCTTCCTGCTGCCAAGCCACCTGGAGCTACGCTGATGAAGCCAGAGCCCTGGAGCTGGAGGAGCCACGTGGAGACCCACGCCAGTGCTGAGATGCTTCCACCACCACTGGATCCACAAGACTTTCCACCCACTGGCCTGTGATCTTCCTGCATTCGGTGTCATTGCATGGCTGCATGAGTCTAAAGGGAAACTTATGGACTGGTATTGACATATGGGGTAATATCGGACTTATGGACTTGATCTAAACTGGGCTGGGATGTTTTCTTAATGTACAATTGCTCTTTGATATAATGTTCTCTCTTATACATGAGTGTCCCTGGATTTGTTTCTCTAGTCTACCTGGACAATATCCCACAGCGCATGTGTGTGTGTGTGGGGCGGGGAGCGCATGTGTGTGTGTGGGGGGCGGGGGGTGTAATTGTGGGAAAGGGGGAGAATCTCCCACAGCGTGGGGCAGTAATCGTGAAGGAGTCTGCATTCTCAGTGGTTCAGACTTGAATGCCAACTGCAAGGTCAGCGGTTCAAACCCACCAGCTGCTCCGAGGGAAAAAGAGGAGGCTATCTGCTCCCAAATAGATTGAGAGCCTGGAAACTCACAGGGGCTGTTCTGCCCTGTCCTCTGGGGTCTCTGGGAGTCCGACGCGAGTGGACAGCAGGGGTTATTGTGATTGTTGTTTGCTCTGACGCTGCAGAGAAGGTGTGGACTGAGGCCACACGCGAATCAGAGCCCACAGCAGCGTGTGTGATTGAAGGTGTGTGTTTGTGATGCCGCTGAGTATGCACTTTGGTGGGCGTGTGTGTGTGTGTGTGTGTGTGTGTGTGTGTAAATGAGAATGTGAAAGTGTTAAGATTATGTATGTGTATGTATGAGTATGTGAGATCATGTGTGTGAATGTGCACAAGGGGAGGGGATGTGAAAGTGTGCATGTGGGTATGTGGGTGAGGAAAGTATGAATGTGTGATTGTGTGTGTGTGTGAACACGCGTGAGCGTGAAAGTATGCACGTGACTGTGGGTGTGTAGGCGAGTCAAAGGGTGAGGGTGATACGTGTGCGTGGATGGAAGTGTAAGAGTGTGAGAGTGCGCATACGTGTGGCTGACCGTGAATGGAAGTGTGAGAGTGCGCATACGTGTGGCTGACCGTGACCACACAGACCCCGGCCGGCTGGCCCTGTGCCCCCTGTGCCCAGCAGCTCAGCTCACTGTTTGCATGTCTGGTCAGTGGTACAGGGCTTGGATCTGTTGCTTGTATTTCTCGCTTATAAACGGTCTCTTCATTTTGGTGGTTGGGCCTGTTGGGAGAGGAGACGTGGGCTCAGAGGCAGGGGAAGCCGCAGTGCCACCTGCCCCCCAGACCCCCTGTGCACTTGTGGGGATGAAGTGGGACCCCCCTGCCCATCACTCCGGGTTCCCTGTGCACTCACGGCCACCACCCCCCACCCAGCCACCCCCCGCTGTCCGGGGCCCAGTGAGGACGGGAGCCCCGCTCACCCAGCTCTCCGCCGGGGATGGAGAAGTCCTTCTCGAGGATGACCCACTTCTGGATCTTCTGGGCATTGGACACGGCCATCTCATTCACCTGGTCGATCCCCATCTGGATGGCCTTGTAGATGGAGGGGTCCTTGGCCTCCAGGATCTCCGTCACCGTGGACGCGTGGCTGCCCAGGTGCCGGCAGACCCTGATGGTGTCCGGGGTCAGTTTGTCCAGCGGTGCTCCAGTCATGGGGTCCATCTCGCACTGCCCAGGGAGACCGTTGTCACCGCAGACACCCCTATCCCCCCCGCGGTGCAACCCCAGGCCCTAAAGGCCACGGAGTGGGTCCTCATTGGCTGGGAGCCTAGTGCCTTTTAGAAGCAGGGGTGATTTGACAGACTGTCCCCCCCCCACACACACACACACGTGTGTTGGGTTCCTGAGCCTGGGGCCGTGGACGTCAACCCCCCTGGGGACAGGTGTCAGTGTTAGGCTCATGAGCGGGCACTGGTGCTGCAGGTGTCTGCAGCCTGGGTCTCTGAGGGATACCCGGGCAGCCCAGGCACCGAGAAGCAGACAGAGCTGGGGAAGTAGGTGCCACCCCCCAGCAAGGATGATGCCAAGAAGCCCGGGGAACTGATGCCAAGGAGGGACAAGGGTGTGCTTCCTTCCCCAGGGCCGGCAAGTGTCACAGCCTGCCCCCAAAGCCAGGCCAGCACCCTGAAATCAGCCTTCTAGTCTCCCAAGCCACGAGAAAATGTCTGGGACACCTGGACCGGTGTGCAATCAAGAGACAGAGCCATGGGGCACCTGGCTTCTGGAGACCGGCAGGCGGGAACCCCAGGTGGGAGGCTGGAGGAGGTCTTGGTGGTGCGTTGTGCCGAGGTCTCCCTGTCTGAGGCTGGAGGGAGAGGAGAGAGAACCCAGCTTACCATATGTGGGGGACCTGCAGGATGAGACCCCCACTGTGAACGTGCCGTGAAAACACCCCCTAACTTACCAACCCGTCCCCCTCACCAAGTCGCAAACCCCTCCCCAAAGGAGTCCTGGTGATGCAGTGGTTACAGGTTGGGCTGTTGACCACAAGGTCAGCGGTTTGAAATCACCAGGGGCTCCACAGGAGAATGAGGAGGCTGTCTGCTCCTGTGAAGAGCCAGAGCCTTGGAAACCCACAGGGGCAGTTCCACCCTGTCCTGTAGGGTTGCTGTGTCGGCATCAACTCGCCGGCAGTGAATTGCATTTGGCTTTTGTTTGTATGTTGGGAGTTTTGAATGAACTTGAGACCAGCGCTATCCCACAGGTGGAGTCTAGCCTGTCAATCAGGTCGCAGCTTGACGACCTCATTTGAAGGCGTGACGGAAAGAAAGCGGCCAGACACACACACTCTCTCTCCCTCTGCTTCGTCTTCCTGCTGCCAAGCCACCTGGAGCTACGCTGATGAAGCCAGAGCCCTGGAGCTGGAGGAGCCACGTGGAGACCCACGCCAGTGCTGAGATGCTTCCACCACCACTGGATCCACAAGACTTTCCACCCACTGGCCTG